GAAGAAACTCCAGCAACGCTTCTATTATTAATAGGAGAAAATCTACCTGCTATGAGGCCGTATCGCGAGAATGATTGCCGCAGCCGACAGCGACTGCGGCGTGTGGTCTGTCTGTGTTGTTTTACCTTTTGCATTACGATGTTTTTCTTCATCGTAAGAAAAACATCGTGTGTAAAAAATAGAGAAAAGGTAGAGACAGATATATCTACACAAGCTACGGCTTTCGAATTACTCGCCCGCGACTTACTCGAGCCGAAATTACCCGGAAGAAAAGCGATATGATTCACTAACAGACCAGACAGGAACAAATTTTGTACGAAATATGTTTTTTTTTCATAATACATACAAACTCCAATTTTGTTAATTGTATAGATGGTAAAAAGACATCCTATATTGTCAACCCTCTAATTAAAAAAAAAACAGATTAATGAATATTTTACCAGTATTTAATGATGTTTTTAGAAACTGAATACAACAAAATGCCTCCAATGTTCCGTCTGGACCCGTATGCGCCGTGTGTGCATGAGCCGGGCGGCGTGTACTGCGCGGTAGAACTCACTCTTGTCGCTGATGAAAACAACCCGTTAATGACTATGATACAGGTAAAATGAATCTTCCATTTCTCTGTTTCTAATTCTCCTTTTTTTTCGAGTCGAAATTTAGTTTGTCAATAATTTGTCGAATATCCCAACAAACTACCAAAAAACTTCAAGATTTCTGACCTAATATTGGATACATTGGATTTCATGATCATGATGATTATCATCATCATCGTCGTTTTTATCATCTTCATCATTAGTCTGCCCTTGTCCCACAGAGGTTCGGCACAATATATACTACTATTCCGTACTTCTATCAGATGCTTCCATAAAATATTATTTTTGTTTAACTAGAAGAAGAGCTGTAAAAAAAACAATATTTTTTTAGAACATAAATTGTCATCTCAATCTCTCACCTTGCACTTTCACTTTTATTTTTACCTTTTTTCTTAATACATTTTACTATTATATATAAATAAAAATTAAACACATTCAACGTCAAGGTCAAGTTTCTGTAAGTAAAATGCGCATGTGCATATTCACTTTATTTATTATTCTACATTTACTTCTTCCAGTATTTCCTTAAAAGAAATCTTGCTATGTTAATTGTTTTTATGTACATATACTAATCGACTTTACAAGGAAATAACTAAACAAGATTAAAAGATTGAGATTTAATTAAATTTATGGAACACGCTGTAGCACTAATGAAACTAACTAAAATAACAAACTAATAATATTTTTTTATTAAAAACCGGTATTTTGAATGTAAATGAACGAATATTCTTTATTTATTGACTTATTAATTTTTAGTAAAATTTGTGACCAACTAAAAGATAGTTACACATTTCCACAAAAGTGATTTTCACAGGACCATTATGTTGCGATTTAACAACTAACAAAAACAACGGGATGTTATAATTTTAAAGTGTCTGTATGTCTGTTTGTGACATCGTTCCCGAACGGATGAGCCGAATTTGATTATGTTTTTTTTTTTAGGAATATTCAGCAAGAAGAGAAATGCATTTCAATCATTCAAGATTACATCGTGGTATTTGCGTCACAAAAACTTGCAAAGAATACCTGAGCCAGAATACATCAGCGGACCTAAGATTGGTCCTTGAGGGATGTCTTAATGATTCTCTATGGGCAGAATATAAATTAAAAAGCAAGTTATCAAGTGAAGTTCTTTGTAATGATTTGGATAATAAAATGGATATAGATTTTGGTGACATCGCCGTGGCTGTTATTTGCCTATCTATCTTGTTGCTCCACGTTGTCGGAAACCTATATGACTTCTTCTTTGTTCCTAATAAAGATAGAAAAGGTATGTAAAAAACAAACTTTAAATCAAAAACTGTAGATTTATTGTTTTATAATTAAATATGTTATAGAATGGCCACTTTGACTCGCCATTAAATTGAGAATAGAAAATATTTGGACCGGTTTTATTTGTCGCAAAAATTTCCACAACAAAAAATAAATTAAACATTAGAAAAGAGTTATGGCCATGGTAATATGCCTATATTTAGATGTATTACATTTCATTATACGTAACTAACGTAATATATTATGCGCTTTGTTTTGTATTTAACTGTTTCTGATATATTTACATGAAATTTCAAAATTATTTCTATAATATAGCTAGTTGATAGTTAAAAGATTATTATGGAAGAACTATATTTTTATAAATATCTACGTTACATATGACATTACTTTTATATCCGGGATGCGACAATGCCCCCTCTGTGACGAACTTTGCCGAATTCTCGACTTTATTTAATCTTATTAGCATACTTAATTGGACATCAAATATTTTACGTACGACACTGTTTAAAATTTAAAAACCAACGTAAATAATCTGTAGATTCTTAATAGTAGTAAATTCGCTCAGTTCTGTCATTTTACTAATGTTTGGATGGATGGATGTTTGAAGGTATCTCCAGAACGGATGAACGGATCTCGATGAAATTTGACATACATATAGAACATAGTCTGGAAGAACACATAGGCTAATTACGTTTTCTTTTCAATACCGCGCGGCCGGAGTCGCGGGCGAACTCTAGTTTATAATACAAAATGAGGGGCTCGGAGCCTAACCTAAAAGCTGACTCAGTATGGTTTAACTTCCCTCATATCTTTGAATTTCTTCGCAAATATGTGTAGGATCGAGCGCACGGACGTAAATATGTAAATCGCAAATCGAATTGATACATGACGGGATTTAAACCCAGGACATGCATATTCTAAATCAGTTGCTTAACCCATGAGCCACTCTCATAAGTTGTATAACTTATATAATTTAAGGATAAACCTTTCCGTCATACAAAAGTAACTTTTAACTAATTAGAAGTAATTACTCTGCATTACCTTCGCGTGTTTTAATATTGTGCAATGCTAATTCTAACTTATTTTATTTCAAGTTTATTTAAGTTAGATAGTGAATCAAAGAAATATAAACAAATAGCTTTCGTAAGCGACTTCCACCGCGCAGAATTAAAAAAAAACTTAATAAGTTGACTCACATAGTCAACTTATTAAGTTTTCTTCCAGATTATGCTCTACATGTGCCAAATTTCACAAAGATTGAGTCGTTTCGGAGATGCCTTTTAACAAACATCCATCTATCCATATATGTAAACTTTCGCATTCATAATATTAGTTCTTACTTCTTACATGCATAAAAACATAGACAAACCTAATTCGTAACCTTTTTGCAGGAAACAAATTACTTTTATGTTTCTCGATTAAACGTAACTGGAAGAGGTTAGTGGCGCCCCCAGCTCTCGGCCCGGAGACACGCCTTAAACGCCTTAAAGGGTTCAACGG